AGTTCAATAAACGGACAGATAGAGCGATTCCATTCAACACTCTCCGAAGTACTGAGATGTACTAAGGCAGAGAAAATCCATACCGACTTTGAAGATCTGCTTAATAGGTCTTTGTATAAATATAATTATTCCATTCATTCCACCACAAAAAGAAAGCCTGTAGAAGTATTTTTTGGAAGAACAGGCGGACCTAATCCTTTCGAAAATATTAAAAATCTCAAAAATAAACAAGAAAAAGACCTAGAACTTCATAATAAGAATAGAACTGATTTTAAGACATACAATAACGAAGACGCTATTTACGTTCAAATAAATAAAAGACTAGGCAATAAATTAACGCCCCGTTATAAAAAAGAAATAGTTCAAGAAGACAAAGGCAACACGATTGTAACAAAATCAGGTCGTACCGTTCACAAAAGTTTCATAAAAAAATAATACACTCAATTTTTCAGGATCTTGCTTGCTTTGTGCAATGCAGAAGTTAAAATTTTGGACTATACGAACAGTCACTTAGTAACGATAGAAATAGCAACCGCAAAGGTTCAGACCGGAAATTCAGATTGATACACACCATTAACCTCGACCTATATGACTCCGTGCTCAACGAAATACGTTCCTCAATAGAACATTACGTAACAAGGAAAGGCCGTAGCTATTCATTCTTATCCCAAGAAGAAAAATCCATCCTATCCCTATTATCCCAGCTCAAACCCAAAAGAACCAAGCGAGCAATAGATTTTCTTGGCACAGCCTGGAAATGGTTGGCCGGATCCCCAGACCATGAAGATTTCAGAATATTAAACAATAAAATAAATAACCTGCTGGTTAATAATAACCAACAAGTAATAATTAATAAGTCTATTCTAGAAAGAATAAACAATCTGACGTATATTTCTAATGTAATATTAAATGAAATTAAGTCAAATGACATTGTCAAATTAGAAGTAGAAAAGGGTATTGAGAGAAAATTAAATTTAATTAAAGAAGAGCTAACAAATATAGATTATTCTATCCAGTGGGCGAAAGCTGGAATTGTAAACTCATTTATGTTATCAAATGAAAAATTAGTTGTAATCAACGAAACATTAGAAAAACAAAATACGCCTTACATAAATGTAATCGAAGCTATTGAATTTAGCGATGTCAAAATTGCATCAAATTTATCATCTATCATTTATATTATGAAATTTCCCTTGACAAGTCAAGAGCTTTGTAAATCAATAATAACAAAACCTGTAAATCTAGGAAATAAGGCTATTAAACTCGAATACGAAAATTAAATTGTTTGTAATAAAGACATATTTGGTGTCAAAAATAGCTGTAATAATGTTAACGATTTAATAATTTGTAAGCAAGATAATTTAGAAAAAGTC